TATCTATCTATCTATCTATCTATCTATCTATCTATCTATCTATCTATCTATCTATCTATCTATCTATCTATCTATCTATCTATCTAGATCATGTGTCAGTAGTTTGTTTATGCTCTCTGACTCCCACTGAGCAACATCCTAAACAAACAGGTTTTAAATCCTCCATCCGCTTCATCTCATTATCATTTCTATTCGCTTAGATTGAAGCAACTTCGATCACTTTACTTCATTTTCAGTCACCAACACGTGGCTGAACCCAATAAGCTGAGGAAAACAGGAGGAGAATCGGCGCATAAGGTCAAGTCCAGCTCAGGCCTGCGGTACTCATGCAGCCTCTCCATCTCCTTCTGTTTAATTGAAGAATATATTGTTCCTTTTTTTCATATTAATGTTATTGTTAAAAAAAAGCTTCAATTTAAGATCAGATTAAACAATCTAAACATTAGACAGTGACGGTTATCATGATAATTGAGATGAGAAAAAAAATAATGTTTTTGAGTTTAAAAAGTTTGCAGTAACTTCCCTAAATATCCAAATTTTGCAAAACCTTCAAGAGTTTCTGTTTATATCAATCATCTCAGAACTTTAAAATAATTAAACCTTCGAAATAGAGGAGAGGCGTCATCTGCCATGCGAGGTTTCTTATTTGATTGAAACTCCAACAGCTTCTGATGCTTTTCTGTGCGCAGGTCGACAAAAAATGCGCAAACTACACGAACTAATGTGCGTCAGATCATTTAGTGCAAATAAATAACTTTTTTTTTGGGGAGCCGGACATTCAGTGACGTTGCAGTTCAATTCAAATGAGTAACATGGACTTATTGAAATAAAACATTGGTCGCAGAGCGCAGGACGCGTTTTTCCTGCAGTGGTGCAAGGGGAGGCGTGGATCTGTCTCGCTCACTTTTGACATTCTCGTGGCAGTGGTGGAATCTCTTCGTTGCACGACTCAGACAACACCGCCCCATCAAGCAGCCGGAGGAGACGCCAGGACAGATGACTCTTTGCGGATGCTCTACATTTTGATCCATTTGGGGAAACAAAAATAAAAAAGAACATTGTATCTGGACTACTCTCGGGGAAGCGCTTCAAGTCCGACTCCCGCACTGCTCAGCGGCCGGTGGCGGAATGTGAGAAACTCCCTTTTAGCGCATGTTCTCCTGCACCGTGCGGAGCCTCCTTCTGCTCTCTGTGCGGCTGGAAAGCAAAGGAAAAAGTGGTGGTTTTTGGTGTTGAAGGAGGAGGAGGAGGAGGGTCGGCTTATAACGACTCGGTCCCTTGCCTATGGACGACTTTGGTCCCCTCTCTCCAAAGGCGAATGCTTTCAGTATTGCCTCTCTGATTTCGGGTGCAGAGCAAGCAGGAAACGCAGCTTTTGACAAACAGGGCACCGGTCTGGACAGCCAGAGTTACTGTAAAATGCACTACAGCACTGTCACCAGGGAAATGGAAGGTAAATGTGTTTGTTCGTGTCCGTATGGGCTGCTGTAGCATGCGCACACCCCAGAAATTGCTTAAACACCTGAAGTGTGCTCATTAGGGCAAACAAAAGCACTTGTTGGCGCGCTGCGTGGAGTGCATGGACGGAATTATATATAAATATTCTTTAAAGAAAGTGTGATTGCTGTTGCATTGATTGCAGCAGAAAAGAAGAGGCAAAAGTTCCCCAAACTCCTCAGCGTTCAGTCAGCACTAATTCGTAAAAAGAACACGTCGAGAAAGAAGCCAATAGGAGGAGGGTTTCCAGGGGCGCCCCGTGCGTAATGGTAAAAACAGACCATAATAATCCTATCCACCTCAGAGGGGGGTGCATATCCATCCCACTCGCGTATTTGTCTATAAGCTAGATAGCGACAGCCACCGGGAGCCTGTTTGTTTGTTCATGCAAATCAGTGTTTACCTTGAACACTCCTCTCTGCAGCCCGGATCGTCTTTTGTTTGTTAACGGAGGCAAATGTGGGCGATACCCTTATCCAAAAAGTTCAATAGGTGCCGGAAAGACCATTAAAAGGGGCGCACTTCTCTGTCAATCAGTTTCGTCCCAGTGCGAGGAAAAGGCAGGTTACCTGCAGTTCGCTATCTAAATAGAAATAAGAACCGGTTTTATCGCGAAGGGGAGGCCCTCTGCGCCAGATAAGAGAGGAGACTGCGCTGCGGTGTTTAACACACAGCAGTGGCGCACAGAGCGGTCAGAGCGCAGCGATCTGAAGGAAAACAGCAGCAGCAGCAGCAGCTCAATCCAAGCGCGTATCTGAGAGCAGTTCAACTTTTTTTTCACTTTTTGGGAATCTTTCGTCACTTTTGGGAAGTCTGTTGTTTTTAGATCAGGAAGCCTTTTAGTGAGACTGAGCTCTCTTCTCTGGACGCAACTTGGGGACTAATGATCCACTGAGCACCGGGGAAATTATTCCACCCTGCTTCTTGTTTTATTGTTTGTCTTTTATTCGGCTTTTTTAAAAGGCGCTTTTTCTGGGATGATTTCAGCCATATCCAGCCCGTGGCTGACGCAGCTGTCCCATTTTTGCGATGTTGCAGCCTTCACCACGAGCAGCCTGAGCAGCCTCAACACGCCGGGGGGCTACCACCTCTCCCCGTCCCCCGGGGACCCCTACAGCCAACATGAGTCCCACTTCGAGCCCTGTCCGGCCGCCCAGCACAACTACAACTACCCGGGATCCAACCCGGCGCAGAGCCAGGGCCCACAGAGCGACACCGGCACCGCCAACTGCTCCTCGTCGTCCTCCAACTCCACACCGAACAGCAAAAGTATCGTGAAGAAAAACCCTAAGGTGGCCAACATTAGCGTCCAGCTGGAGATGAAGGCTTTATGGGACGAGTTTAATCAGCTGGGGACTGAGATGATCGTTACCAAGGCTGGCAGGTGAGATCCGCGGCAAATCTGGGCCACAAGGAAAAGATCGGACATGTTTTCCTGCAACAAACCAGATCAGGGAGTGAAACACAGACAGTAATGCATTATTATTATTATTATTATTATTATTATTATTATTATTATTATTATTATTATTATTATTATTATTGTTATTAAATGGAAGTAGTAACAATGTAAATATTGCATCACCAAAACATCTTTTTTTTTTTTTTATTTAAAAATTTTTTTAAACAGGACGTGAATTACCAGCTCATTTTCACACCATATATATCATATATTTATATATATGTATATATGAATATTCATATATTGTTCGTTTTAAATTACTTTCTGCCCGATTATGCGTCTTTAATTCGGATTTTTAGGACTATCCAAATAGGCTTTTTCTCCAAAAGATTATAATTTTCTTTTCAAAAGTGGTTTTCAGTTTGCTCTATTTTAATTTATTTTTTATATAAAGATAGTGTTTTATTTTAAGGGAATTTAAAAAAGGCCCTACAGGTTGATAGAAATGCGTTTTACTCAGCTGCATCCATGAGCTTTAATTTTTTTCACTTGAATTAAAATCTAATTGATAAAGCTATCATCTCTTTATTTTCATTTTCTTCATAAATAGCTGCTTTTATGTTTTAAATTAAGCCGTCGTTAATATGCTTTTTTTTATTGTTTTAGTAAATTAGGCATTAAAACTATATGATTAAATAAGCAAAGTAAAGAGGTTTAAAACCTTCTACTGTGAAACCTGTACCGTTTTAAAGGCAGAAAACAGAGGTAATGAGAGGGTGGAAAGCTGCTTCCCTGCAGCCTGAATGGGAGGCTGCAGTCCCCCCTCTCTGCACAGTTTGACAGGAGAAAGGAGATCTGCTGCAGAGCACTTTAAAAGCTCCTTCAGCCTCACCTAGCCACAACACTGACGTTAATTGAGCGTTGATTTTGGGATCCCTTTCACTGACTCCACTGCTGGATTACTCAACTTTCCACTCAGGTTCTTCAGCAATTTTTAGGTCAAAAACAAACCTTAAAGGGTTGAAGGAGACTCAACAAAACCTCCAGCAGGAACACAGCAACTCTTCCAGAAAATCTTATATATTTAAAAATATATATATATATATATATATATATATATACAAACGCTTCAATTTGATGTTTTTTTAAAATTAAACTGTCCTATTTAGGAGCAAATAAATTAAGATTCAGAATTAACCAAATTAGCGACACTCATTCCTCCAGATTAACTCCCGGATGCGGATCTATTTACATTTGTGCTCAAAACATCTGGGATTCAATAAGAGACACGATAAGAAGTAAAAGAAGATATATTTGAAAAATAATGAGAATCAGAGTCCTACAGAAAAAAAAAAAAAAATCCCCAATAATCTGCTTTTGGAGAGCCTCCATTACGCACTGAGTGGTTGCAGACTTTTTTTTTTTTTAATATGGAGCAAAGTCATTCTAGTTTAAATTGGGCCTTTAGCAACATGCCTGCTGGCGCTTATATTTAGGCAAGCTTCCTTTTTTATCCCAAGATTTCCCGTAATTTAGTCAACAACAAAATAATCGGATTGTAGGGAAACGGGGCCTTACGTCATATGGTGTGAAGGAAATGCAAACTGAAGCTAAAAATTAAACAGCCATCCTGTGGTTTTGTTTTCCCTCTTAGGAGAATGTTTCCAACATTCCAAGTAAAAATATTTGGGATGGATCCCATGGCAGACTACATGCTCCTGATGGACTTCCTGCCTGTAGATGACAAACGATACAGGTAACCTTTTCTTTTTTATATATATACTATTTCTATTTCTATTTAAGTGAGCACAACTTTGAAGCATGAAATTGAACCAAACAAGGGGGGAAAAAATGACAGAAATATGAATGTAAATGTATAAAAAATATATTTATTGGTTACTTATACTAATAAATACAAATAAAAAATTACCATTATTACTGAGTTCAAATCCAGTGTTTTATAATTGTACACTGCAAAACAAGGAAATCCCAAAAAGTAATTTTTCCTTGAAATAAGTGCATTTTTTATTGAATTGAGGAGTTAAGTGAGACACTTTGCCAATGCAATATGACAATTTACATTTAAAATAAGAAAAAGTAATTGCATTGTCTTATTTAAAGTGCTTGTTATCTAATTTTCTTACTTGAAGAGTAAAAATACTCATTCCATTGGTAGATCATCTGATTTACCTACTCAAATTAAGGCTCAATACACTTAATTTAAGAATTTTTTACTTCTTTCTAGATCGTTTTTGCAGTGTAAAACTTTGTTTCCCTCTTAATAGATATTGTTATTATTTTTATTGGCATGCATAAACTTGCATAATCCATTTTTGCTGATGTTTTTTTTTTTATTTAATTTTTTTATTGCCCTTCCAGGTATGCTTTCCACAGCTCGTCGTGGCTCGTGGCGGGTAAAGCGGATCCTGCCACCCCAGGGAGGGTGCATTACCACCCGGACTCTCCAGCCAAAGGCGCTCAGTGGATGAAGCAGATCGTCTCATTCGATAAACTCAAATTAACAAACAACCTGCTGGATGATAACGGACATGTGAGTACAGCGAAAGGAAAAGCGCTGAAAACGGAGCCGCGCAGAGAAACAAATCGGTGCCATCTGTCCTGCGTCACGGGGCCCGAATAATCAATTCATCTTCACGGTGTTTAAACATAAAGGAAGATAATTTAACTCTAACCTATAAAGCATTTTAACTATGATAAACTATTACATCAGAGAGAAGTTGAGCCCTCAATAGATGAGACATTTCTGGATAATAAGGACATATTTGTGAACATGGATAAAAATGGAGGATATAACTTCTTTAATCCTCTTTACCTCTTTTTATTATCTACATTAGTATATATAAAAAAAGACATTTTAAAAAGAGTGGTGATGAAAACGCAGTAAAATACTCACATTAATATCAGACTGATGTGGTATCTGGGGTCTATTGCGCACAGGAAATGCATGTTCTCATAATTTGGGTGTTAATTTATTTATCAGCTGGCTTTGCAAATATGATTTCTTCTTAAAATAATTTTTGTATGTGTTTTGTTAATCGCGGATAATTTATTGGCATCCAGGATATTTGTTCCACGCGTTATTTTTGCTCTTTTTTCTATTCATTATTAATTAACGCGATATTACACTATAGCAGGGATATAAGGAGAATAGAGTGAAATAATTTTTCCTTTTGTCTTGCAGATCATCCTGAACTCCATGCACCGCTACCAGCCCAGGTTCCATGTGGTTTATGTGGATCCCCGCAAAGACAGCGAGAAATACGCGGAGGAAAATTATAAAACGTTTGTTTTTGAGGAGACTCGTTTCACGGCGGTCACAGCCTACCAGAACCACCGGGTAAGGCATGTTTCCGCTGCGCATTGTCTTCACATCTCAGAGCATTAAAGAAAACCTTCATTTAACACGTTTTAAAGTTCAAACAAGCAGCACTAAGCTTGATCATTGGATTTATTAGAGGCGATGGTGTTCGATTATGAATAAATGGATTAAACTAGGTTAAATGTGCGTTTTTAGATCTCGGTTCTTCAGCTCCAAATAATTATTCTGCGTTTTCCCACCTCTGGTATAGATTCAACCTTTAATCTCTATAGACGCTCATTTCAGCGCGTTTATTCATTTCTCCCAAATATTCTCAGCTAAAAAATAAATAATATTTGAACAGATTATTTTTTTAATAGTTTTTTTTCTTAGTGTAGATAAAACACATCCTTTTAATTCACAGTAAAGTTTAAACAAGTGCTTCCAAGCTTTGTTAATTTATGTATTTAGTTAGTTAAATGTTTCTTTGTTTATTTAGAAAAAAGTAGGCCAACTTTATGCCGCACTGCAAAAAAAATAGAAACCTAAATAAGTCATTGTTTCTTAAAATAAGTGCATTTTGTTTTGAACCGAGGAGGTAAGTGAGACACTTTGCGTATGGAACAAGACAATTGACATTTAAAATAAGAAAAAATAACTCCATTGTCTTATTACAAGCGCATATTATCTAATTATCTTATTTTAAGAGTAAACATACTCATTCTATTGGCAAATCATCTAATTTACATACTAAAATTAAGGGTAAATAAACTTGATTTAAGACATTTTTACTTCTTTCTAGATCATTTTTGCAGTGCAGTTCAGTTCATGGATTTATAGCAGATATCAGTAAAGCTTTGTTTGCAGTTAAGGCTCAAACTTAATGCATCATTTCTAATAAAACCTGATGGTACTGATATCACAATGATATTTTATTAATGCAATTATGGAGCTCTTGAAAATAATCAGATAATGATTATATTAATATTAGCCTACCTGTCAAGAATGTTTTTTTTTGTTATGACATTTAAAACTGAGAAGATTGTGTCTTAAGCAATGAGATTAGATTTTTTTTTGTTTTCTGATACTTTGCAGATCACACAGCTGAAGATAGCCAGTAATCCGTTTGCAAAGGGCTTCAGGGACTGTGACCCAGAGGACTGGTGAGCTTTATTCACACTTAAACATTACAGTCATGTTTACATTATTTTCACATGTTATAAACAATAACGCAGAAAAAAATGGAGTCAAGCAGATCAGAAATAATTTTTTTTCAAATTGGTTTCATTGTTTTGGATAGCATGCAGGGTTGCCACATGGGTGGAGTTCTGTTAGAAGCCCAGTGTTGGACCGTGAATCGCACACTTCAGTGGATATTGTTTAAAAGTCAATCAGCTGTGTTTGTCTGTCACTGACGAACCGCTTGACTCTAAATAGAGGAGTGTTGGAACAAACCCCACCCATGCAGAGTGTGCAGATTCATGAAACATGCACACAGAATTTTTCAAAATGTGTGTTAATAATTTAAATTAAAGGAAATACAACCAAGTATCAGAACTAAAAGCATTTATTTTATGTTAAGCTTCACATTTTACATGACGTTCTATTTTAATTAGTCAAATGTATAATAATTCTCATAAAACATGATGAAAGAATAAAAAAATGTTTATTCATCTCCTAAAATGTTACAAATGCTGTGCCTGTGAAAATCATTGTGGGAGTTTGAAGCTGACTCCAGTCTGTTGCTGCAGGCCCAGGAATCACCGGCCAGGCTCTCTGCCAATAATGAGTGCCTTCGCCAGAACCAGAAACCCAATGTCATCTCCCCCTCAGCAGAACGGCACAGAAAAAGGTTTGCAGCTCTTTGTTTTTATTTTTAAATCTTTTGATAGCTATCAAACATCCAGCATAGCCTCAGCGAGCTCTTCTGTGTTTGTAGTTCTGTATTTCTGTCAGCCATTGGTCTTCTTTTCCTTTTCTTCTTTTTTTTTACTTCTTATCCTTGACTGAGGTGCAGTGGTGCGTTTGCTGCATCAGAACATTGTTGGTTTTAAATTAAACATCAGAAATCAGCCAGCCTGTTTCATGCTCTGGCAACACAATAGAAGTGTTTATGCTGCTGCATAACAGGCTTAGAGCACTACAGAAACAGAAAGGAAAATTAGATTTTATTTTGTTGTAATTTGAAGTAATGATGACTGATATAGCTATTAGCTGTCTGGGAATAAACTTAACCTAAGCAGAGCTTTCCATCTTAGCTGTAGAGATGATATTATTAATTTTATTTGCAGGTTTATTTTCGGATTTTCCTCCATAGATTACATTTAAGCTGTAACTCTTTTGTGAAATAAACGGTTTAATCAGTGTTTTATTTTTTTAATAGCTCAACATTATTGCACTTTTCCAATCTATTATATAAAGCTGTTTTTATGCCACGGGTAATTTGTAGAAGGAAGAACTGATTGCTTTTAACTGAAATGATCAAATATTTGTCTATAGCTTCAGTCCAACCACTGTATCTCTAATTGCAGAGGTGTTCTTCTGTCTAATTTTCTTTAACTCTTCTTTTACCAAACCTTTGCAGAAGATTCCAGACGGGAATATGAAGGAGATCCAAGCGGAACCCCAATTCACGCAGATCCGGCCCACCAGCTGATGTCTCGTGTCCTCAGCCCGGCTCTGCCGGTCCCAGGAGGACTTCACGCCGTCCCGCTAACCAGCGGCCGACCGAGCCCTCCCCACGACCTCCGGCCTGATCCTCACCCCCTGCCCCCGGACACCCTGCACCACCATCCCTACAAATACCCAACTGCTTATGAACACTACTTGGGAGCCAAGACCAGGCCTTCGCCTTACCCTTTACCCAGCATCAGAGGACACACGTACCATCACCACATGAATCCCGCCACAAACATGTACTCAGCAACGAGCGGCCCCTCTAACTATGACTATGGGCCCAGATAATGACTGCTGTCTGTCAAGGATGATGGCGCACGGCACTATGGGAAACCTAGCAGGCAGGGACTCAACGCAGCTCCCTCTGTTAATGGTTTCTGCAACACGTGGGGTTTAATCAGAGGTTAAGACTCCCCTCTGCTGGATAAATCCTGTTATATTTATTTAAAGGAAATGCATCTAAGCGAGGACACCTGTTTGAAAGCCCTCAGATGGCTCCGCTTTGACCTTTGAACTCAAATGGGAACAGCTCCTACTTGAGCGGTGCAGACATTAAGCCATCCGGCTGAAGAAAAAGGAAGAGCCTTTCCTTAACCCGGACAAGACTTTTGATCACAGACTGGAACTGATTTATTTTTTTCTTTATGATGCACTTTTTTGATTTGTGTTGTTTTTATTGCTTTCAAAAAAGCCATACGTTATATATAGTCCCATGAACCTTCTAGGTTAGTAGACGAGATGTTTGCATGTTGAGCTCATCAGAGAGGATGTCAGAATACATCGAAAATTGTTTTCTGCTTAAGGCAAAAAAACAAAAAAAAAAACAAAAGGAAATTTATGAACATCTTGAGCCGTTCGGAGCTTGCACCATGGCACTGACTTGCAGCAATTCTAAGTAATTAAAAACAAAGCAGAAAGGCTCTTCTGTATCTGTAAAATAAATAATCTCTGTGCAAATCTTCAACTTGTAGTGCTCTCTGCAAAAACGGGGGGTGGGGGGTGCAGATAGCATTGTTCAGTACTGTCTGTCCGGATTTGCCCTCCTGAAAAAGGTGGAGATTTCTGCTGTTGCTACAGTTATTGGCAGTCAAGATTTGAAAGCTGTCTAAACATACAGAGATTCAAACGGTGAAATCTGCACCTGGATATAAGGAAGCACACACACACACACACATGTTGTGTCACAATATCCTTGTTGGGACCTTCCATTGACTTCCATTCATATCCCACTAATTTATATGGCCTAACCATGACCCTTGCCCTAACCCTAACCATTACCGACACATACCTATCCCTAAACCTAACCTAAACTCAATTCACACCTTAGTCCTAAACCTAACCCCCACCCCAAGAAGAGAAACTTTCCTTATGGGGACCAGTTGTTGGTCCCCACAAGTACCTATGAGTCCCCAAAATGTAGCATATTCCTAGGAAATTGTCCCCCCCAGGTATTAAAGACATGGCCACACACACACACACACACACACACACACACACACACACACACACACACACACACACACACACACACAGACTACATTTATTGAAATTAGAGTAGGAAGGAACTAAAATGTTAAAGTAAATCTGGGTTAACCTTTTCCTATTAATATTTTTCAATAAATGCAACAAAAAAACTTTGGAGAAAAAAAAAATCTAAACCTCAAATGCAGAAAAAATAAGTTATTCAAGGGTAAAAGCTATTCTGTAAAGCATTTAGGTAAAATTGATGAAGAAATGAATGAAAATACATTTTGCTTTTTACCTTTATATTACCTGGTAGAAAAAAAAAAAATTCTCTAATAGTGGGCGTTAATTTTTCAACCCCTCCTCCAGAAGATATCATCACTCATCTATAATGCCACACTGGCTGATATTTTGAGAATGTGACCCCTCTGCTTGCCTGTGCAGCCATTTCCAGACATCTCCTATCTGACGTCCTACGAGGAATGCTTTGTTGTCAAGGTTAATCTCACTGGGAGAAAAATTCGACTTTGTGGATTTCTGGCCATCAAGATGCACAGGAAAACATTAGACTTCCTAACGATTCATAGCAATATGTAGGCCTTATTTAAGTATTATATATTTCTCTTTTCTCTCTGGCTCCCGTGGAGCAGAGAGCATGGGAAGCCGGGGCCTGAGGCCCCTGACCTCTGACTGTTAAATGGCTTGTAAAGGTGTCAGAGGTTAAATAATGTTTCCATTCATTCAAATCACAGCTAATTGGTTTTGTAATTTTTGTTTGCTTATTTTATTTTAATGACTAAAAATTCAGTGATAAGCATTTTGAAAATATTATTTTTAGATGTTGAAGAAACTTAGATGTAGCGGGTAAATTATTTATTTCAATTTCAAGAATTGTATTTTATTATTATCATTATTATTATTTTATAAATTGTGTAACTTAATTATCCGTTTTAAATTATTATTTAAAATGGCATTTCATTAGAGTCAAAAGTAGCCTTTAAATTTAAATAAGAGGAAATATAAATAAGTTATCGATGCTCAGAAGTTGCAGCGTTCCGTTCCTGTGTGTTTCATCTACAATATTTATTTGTTTGGTCGTAAAGCGGCGCCGTGGAGACGTGAAGCCGGGCGATAAGCACCGCCAGCCAGCTGCAGGTGTTCAGGATCAGCCTGATTAGATGGAGGGGGGGGTGTTAGGTTCAGGGTGAGGAGGACTTCAGGCAGGGGGGGTCAAAAGGCTAAATTCAGGCTAATTACAGGTTTCACGGTACACAGGCCACATCAGCAGGCTGTTTAGTGATAGCCTACTGTTCTAAATAGGGATGAGGAGAACAGTGATCTCACTTTGCTGAAAACTAACCTTCATGAAACTCTAAGCAGTAATCTTACTGGATTCAACAGGCCTGGGTTCAGCTGCTGTCATACTTTGATTCTTCTCTGAGCTGCTTATGATAAAAAAATAAAAAATAAAAATAGATGAGAACTATACTTTCATTCAAAAAAATCCTTTTTTTGTTTTGTTTTGTTTTTTTGGGGAGAGAAAATTAACCATTAATAAAGCTTCAAGGTATAGAGTTAAATGTTTAATCAGTGCCCTATTTATCCCCAAAATATTTGCACTTTTAAAATACTTATAAATGTTCTTCACTTGATATATTCAAAGCTTTAAAGTACATTTATTAGTATGGTGATCCTACAAAAAACATCTCTGCAAAAGTCTGTGTGAGAAGTCTGCAGGCATGTTTGTGTTTTTATGGATGGGGCTTCAAAAAAACAGTCCATATATATTTTTTTTTTTCCTGTTTTCAGATAGGGACTATACTAATTCATAAAATGAAGCACTTCATAACACCAACCATAAACCATGCTGTGAAGGAGAAGTGGGAAAAACAAGGGCTTTTATTTTATAGCCTTTGTTAAACGCGGTAAAACAACAGATTGGAAGTATTTTAAACATTCTCTAAATGGAAAGACATGATGATCGCTCCTAAAAGATTTCTGGAGAAGTTTGCTATATGAGGATTGCATTTTCTTAACCCACTTACTGCTTAAAAGCAGCTAAAATGTGTCCCACTCACGGCCTGTTGATGCATACAGATGATGATAATGACAGTACTTTGCAAAACTCTAAATCATGGGATTATTCCTGGTAACACTTAACATCCATCATTTATTTCTATTGTACGTGTTTTTTATTCAAATAAACAATCTCCAGCCTCAGCAGAGATCAGGCTTAGATGTTACGCACTAATAGGTCACTGGAGCTTGCTAGTAATAATTAATGTTTAAACATGTCTAATGTTTTTAAACATGTTTAATTTTTTAATTGATAACTCTGTGTATGCATTTAGAAATTAAAATTGCCCTAAAGCATTAATTTTACAAAAACTTTTTTAAAGACATAAAAACTAGCTTTATAATTTCCAAGTTAGCAATGACTTAAGTTTTTCTCCATCATATAGTTCTAACTCGTCTTAAACATCATTACAGCTGTCTACAACTGATATAGGCCTATATATGGAAGAAATTTGAACAAATCAGCAAGCAGAATGAATCAGGAAATAATTATAGAAATAATTCAGAATTGTTCTACAATTTAACATCAATACCTATATTTCACATTTTCATTTCATACATGCATTTTAAGATATAAACAAATTGGGGTGTAGGAAAACAATTCTTTCTGTAAATATCACAACATTTCATTAGAAAATATTTGTATTGATAAATAAAAATAATATCTTGATATTTCATGAGATGATAATGGTATTAAATCTAAAAAAAAACATCAAATGAATCTTAAATGGGAGTGATATTAATAAGCAAACACCCAGTTCATTGGCTTTCTTTTATATAAGACTTTTTATATAACCCCAGCCACTAGTTAGCAGCACAGATCTCTTGAGGTTTTCCAGTTTTACTATTAGAGCCTTTTTATGATAAAAATCACTATATATTGTCTTTAAAGTAAATATTGCAAATATTATAAAAATTCAACTTTGTTCTTTAATATGAAGCAGAGCAGTAATGCTCCAAAGCTCCCTTGTGGAAAGTGTGCCTGCTGGGGAAAATGAAACAAACTGCACACCAACCAAATGTGATCAGTATAGCCCCTCTGGAGTATTTCTGTTATTATATTAGATAACTATTATTATAAAAGCCCGAACAGCCATTTAAAATAAATAAAAGCTCATGTTTCCATTTACTTTTAAATAAAAAAGTGCAAAATATTTTGCAGTGAGGTACGGAGGAGGGAGGGAAGATCACTGGACAATCACTTGACACTCCAGGCCTATTGATGGCTTCATGAACTCGCTTTAGCAAAGCATAAAGCCTAGCTGCTGAGGCCTCAGCCAAGTTTATGAGTGGTTTTGAAACCAAACCAGCTTCACCAAACTGACTTAACATCAAAAAGACTAATTCAGCAATATGACAACATAAGATATGTCTGTTTCAGATGGGGACATATTTTCAGCACTAATGTCCTGATAGGGTAGTCTTGTTTTAACATCAAGCATTCAGAGACAGAGATCTAAGATTTTCAAAGCATCATATCATTGATTTGAGCAGAGGCTGCTCCGTGTTGCAGTGGGTAGAACTGCTGCCTTGCATCAAGAAGGTTTCAGACTCAATTCCTGGCCTGGGGTCTTTCTGCATGGAGTTTGCATGTTATCCCTGAGCAAGCGTGGGTTCTCTCTGGGTACTCCGGGTTCCTCCCACACTCCAAAAATATGACTGTTAGGTTAATTGGCTTCTCTAAAATTCTCCTTAGGTGTGAATGTGTTTTAATGGTTGTTTGTCTCTGTGTAGCCGAGCAATGGACTGGCGACCTGTCCAGGGTGTACCCCGCCTCTTGCCCGTAGACAGCTGGAGATTAGCATCTGCACCCCTTATGACCACGCTTAGGATAAGTGTGACAGAATGGACTAAACAGCAGGCTTAAGGTGTGTTTCTGGCTATTGCAGTACTCTAAAATCTGAAATAAGCAGCATTGATTCTTCCTGGATAATTTAATTTTCTTAAAAAAAAAAAAAAAAAAAATAGCTAAGTTCAAAACAGTCAGTGGTTGTGTTTTATTTTTATTTTTAGGTTATAAAGCCATTGCTGATAGTAGTGTTAAACCATGTGAGCCCGTTTAGACAGAAAAACCCAGATATCCACAGAAAAGCAGAGAGTTAAAGATTATTTGGTGCTTTGTTGTTACCTAAGGTATGTGGTATGCCTCTACCTCTCCCCATCTGGTCTGCATTAGAGGCCTGATAATGATGGGTTTAAGTGTCTGTTTTTGTTTGTTTTGCTTCCCATAGTTTGTGTCAGGAAAAGGCATTTGTTTCATTTAAGGGTCAACTGCAGGCGGTAAACGGCTAATGATTGCAGTAATGGTCAGTCAGCGAGGCCGGCTCGTTAATTGTTTTTACTTTCTACCCGAGAGAGAGAGAGAGAGAGNCAGCAGGCTTAAGGTGTGTTTCTGGCTATTGCAGTACTCTAAAATCTGAAATAAGCAGCAT